ATTAATATTTAGTTTAAATTTGATGTGTGCTGACAGTATTCTTCTGTAGAAGAGTCACTGAGCTAATCATTAGTGCTCGTGCTTGAAGGTTTTATAGAACTGTGACCACTTGACCCTCAGATGAACCAGTCATTTGTTTTAATCAGTGTATGGTTGGTAGCCAAAACTGGTATTTTCCAACATTACCTCTTCATGGATTACTTTGTAGGATGAGAATGCAATAATGGGTTATCTTTACATGTGAACCGTAGTTACTGGAAGTGTCAGAACATCAGATTTGGCTTGCAGTTTGATTTCTTGGTTGAGGAGTTCCATCAAAACATCTTTCATTTAGTCATTTTATCAAAGTGATTGGTATCTCCACATACCCATTCCTCAACATATTTCTTCATTGCAGATGATTCCCATATCTTGGTTGTTGCCAAAATGCTTTCCTCAGTAGACTTGAGGATTATTTCCTTTGTCATGAGTTTAAATGTGAGTTTCTTCTGATTTGAGAATGTTACATGTTGCTAATACACAGAACAGGTTTGTAATGGCCCAGTCTTGTCTCATTACTGTTGATTTGTTTTTGGGCATGATCTTCCACAAGGCAGGTGAAAGTAATTTGATTTGAGGAATTAAGTGTGAAATCTTCCGAAAGAAACTCATGCCAAGATCCATCACCTAGAAATGGTACATGCAATACAGCATATTCTGGAATGTTCTCTGCATATCGAAGTCTTATCATAAACAAATACATATATATACTTAGTATTTCAAGACCTGAAAATGTATAAACCAATTGTCTTGGTGTAGGACATAATGGAATTCCAGCAGGGTCATAATTTGTTGTATGTACATGCATACCGATAGCAACGGGATGTGCGAAGTATCCGACACCAAACTTAGTTAACTAACTGCTTCTTGAACACCCCATTTGTACCAATTCTTGTAAAATTATACATTCCACAGTCAGTATTTGCTGGTTTCTGAAGTCTTAAACTGCAATTCATGTTATCAATTTAGTATCTTTTTGACATTGTGCTTGGAAAATGTTAAATGGGAATATTTCATGAAGAACTTTACAAGTTATTAGTATTTTAAAATTGATTATATTTATGACATGAGAACTTGCTTTTGATAGAGAGAGTATGATCATTAGAATATTCTCAGATTTAATGATTTTTCGTCACAGAATAACTAGAAATGGCCTGAAACCGAGTATGATCTATCTCTAGTGAAAGCACACTTGTGTGCGTTTGAACTTTGTGTTAGTCTATATAAAGATTGGTAAAAACTTGTGTCCAGTCTGTTTCTTGTGAATCTGAGTTGGTCTACATCAGAGAAATTCAGGCAACTGCTTCTTGATATAGTTTTTGGTGGATTTCTAGTTATTCTGCAGTGATGACGATGTAGACCACTATGGAAACATATAGAGAATGTCCAACAGGGCTTCATGTCCTTTTTATTATATTCACTTTAAATAACAATTATAATACATTTTTATTTATATAAAATAATTTTAATGAAGGGTGAATGAAGAGCACACTCTCTTGCTGAGAAATTGAAAGGACTTTACTATTATGTAATACAAAAAACACTTTTTATTCCTTAGCTTATTTTATGAAAATACTGAATATTTAAGAACATAATGGTGCACAAAAGAATCAATGTATTGATTTAATATTTAAAAAAAAATTGGAATAGTTGAATCGTAAAACAAACAATATGGTGATGGATTTCGTTTTAGGCTATAGTAATACAGAAGAGAAAAGCATTATCCTTAGTTGTGTGTGTTTGTGTACTGGATAACCTCTATTGAAGAAAAATTTGCATAACAATTTATTAAGTATTTTTGCCGAAAATCTCGCAAAGCTACTCAAGGGCTATCTACATTAGCTATCCATAACTTAAAATTGATCCACTGGAAGGAAAGTAACTACTCATCACCACCAATTGTCGATGCTTGGGCTACTCTTTTCACCAACAAGTGAAATTGGCTCTCACATTATACACCTGCCTCCATGACCGAAAGTTCAAGTGTGTTCGGTGACGGGATTTGAACCTGTACGTACAATAACCTATAGATTATGAGTGTTTAACTTGAATCAAAATGCTTCTTCATTTCTACTAAATAGTGGACTATAGTGTCAGATATATCTACCATAACACTAAATCACTGAAAAAAGTATAATTACCAAAGAAAAATCAATGTGACATGCTCAGAATTAATAGAACAACAAATAGTGTAGATAATTGTACTATTGGTGAATGGATAAAGATTTTTAAAAATATATTTATTCTATCATTGAGGCCATCGTACAAATGCTTGACATGGTGTGTAGATATTGTGCAATGAAGTCTTTTTTGCTGTATTTAAATAGGTTAATTAGAATAATTTTTTGATCAGCATATTGCCAACTAACATTGTCTTAATTAAAAACCAGTTTTCATAATATTTAAGCTACCATTCCTGTAATTGTTTTGTACTATAGCTGTAAGATTTTCCAACACTTAGAAATTTTTTTACAAGCATTATGAAGATTTATGCTGTGAAAAAATATAAAGAAATATACAAAACACAGAAAAACAAGATTGAAATTTTATTTTGAAATTTACAATCTGTATGTAAAACAAAATGGCTGCCATTAGAAAAACAATAGTGCAATCTTAAAAGAAGTTTTCTTCAGTGATGTCCAAATTTGAGAAATACATAGTTCATCTACGTGCAAATTGACGTACGAGTCTTAAATTCATTAAGAGTTCCTCAGAAACAACATAAATATAATTAACAATAAAACATGAAAACTATATATTATAAACTTTAAATTAATTAAAACAACTCCAGAGACATTTTAAAACTAGAGGCAAGATCAAAACTGGAAAATATACTATTAGGGTAATTTTACAATGATACGGTTCTATAGTGAAAGACATACTATATATGTCTTGCACTCAATAAAAGGTAAAACATTTACACACAAGTTAAATATTTACCTAAACATTATCATCATTTGACAAAATACCAAATAACATTTATCACCATGAGAGTGGGCAAATCCAAATAAGCCTAAAAGGAAATAATTCCATTATGCTACAATTTTAATTTATTTATTTTTAAACAAGACACTCATAAGTAAGTAGAATTCCAAGAAATGCTTATATCTTGATCAAGAGCCAATTTCTGATTCAGAAACAATTTCATATTCATTAATATCAATATCGCTGGACTGTGACTGCTCTCTCTGCAGGAGTGGTGCATCTAAATGCGGTGTGGATGAATCACTATTGCGTTGGTGACTGAAATTCAATTCGCTGGAGATTTCTTCTTGAATACTGGCTTCAAGTTCACACTCAGTAAGCTGTGAACTTTTATTAGAGTCTGAGATGGAGCTGACTGCCAGCTCCTCAGGCAAGTTTTCACTAGATTCCATGGAGCCAGAAAAAGCAAGCTCTTCGTTAAAAAAAACTTCCTCTTCATTCTCTGATTCTGAGCTTTCTTCTTTAAAATAAGAGGGGTGAAAATGAATTGTGTTTCCATTATTTCCTGCAGAGGTGGTTGTATTGTTTTTCTGAGGTTCAACAGCTAAATTTGCTTGTAATTCATCTCCACTTTCTTCTTGAACATCAGGAAAAGAATCCAGGCCATGGTATAGGGAAGTGTCTTCTTCTAAAGTAAAATTCAAAAACCCTATACAATTGAGTATACAAAACAAATGTCCAAAAGTGTCATGTTTATAGATACCTCCCAATGCCATGTTTATTCTTGGTACAGTTTGAAAGGGTAACCCTATCTTCATGGTGGTACAAAATTTTAAACTCACATTGTAGTGCTATAAAGGGGTGACACACAGGAGCCTCTGGCAGTGAATGTTAGAAAATTAATACTTCTGTAAATAGTTAATGAAGAATATCATTCAAACAAAATCAGAAAACAACATTAAAGATATGAAAGTCATGTGTCTATCAAATGTTCTAATTTCTTCTCCATTAAAAAAAAATTGAATCTTTAAGTATTATAATAGTTATTCGAATGAATAATTTTAATTGACTCCACACACAAGATATACTTTTTACACCTGTCTTATTTGTCATACAGTAGAATGAATAAATCTTCCAGGACATTTAAAAATAGTTATATATATAATCGTTAATTTAATTTTTAGGCAATTTCTGAACAACTACCACACAATAATGTTTCTCGGAAGCTACGAAAAGAATACCTAATATAGTATGTTAAATGTTAACACTACTGAAAGGGCAATAAATCATGTTTTATGTTAAGGTATTATTTTGAATAAGTTAGAAAAACTCATTCAATACAATATTTTGCTCTATAGAAAAAGCACTGCCAGCATCTGTGAAATATCAAAACAGTATGTACGGATGATAAGGCTTAACGGTATGACCAATCTCCATAGATATCATTAACACTAAAACTCATACAAATCAATTGTTTTTTTACATGGCTGGTGCAAAATACAAATAACTCCAATGAAAGGAATGGTTTCTTTTTTATTTTCAACAATAATTAGAACCACTACACATTTAATTTTCACAAGTTGCTGAATATCAACATTTTTACCTCTTCCCTCAATATGGTTAGCTTGGGGTCAGAAGAGATTCTTAAAATCCTACTTAGTATAAAACAGGTTCTTTCAATTATTGTCTATTATAATTTTATATTGTACAGAGTATTATTCTGTGAAAGTGATTAACTTTATTTTGGTTTGTATTTCAAATATTGTTGGTTATATTTTTGTAATTATGTGTAGCAAGTTTTGTATTTCAAATATTGTTGGTTATATTTTTGTAATTATGTGAAGCAAGTTTTGTATTTCAAATATTGTTGATTATATTTTTGTAATTATGTGAAGCAAGTTTTGTATTTCAAATATTGTTGATTATATTTTTGTAATGATGTGTAGCAAGTTCTACACTTTACAACTTTTTAAACATGACTTATAACTGAAACTGTCAAAATTATTAAAAGTTACAACTTTGAGTAAGAATTAGAATCAGACTTTAGATGTTTAATGATTAAGTAGACGTTAGTGGTCAGTTACAAAATGGAAGTAATTTTTCTTAATGAGATACACGAGGTAGGTTTAGCTCCACTTGTACGGTTTAATAAACTCGAGATTTAAACCCGAAGAAGTTAATACATAAGTCACCTGCAAACCCTAAAAGAATATAACGACATGACTTTCTTACGTAGGAGTTTATCATAATTCAAAAAGACGTAATTCCTTCTTCCCTGTCCGATGTATATCCTTTACCTTTTGCTTGTAAAGAATTTATGATTTCTTGTTTGTTTGTTGTTTTTTAGAGCAAAGCCACAATGGACTATCTGCTGTGTCCACTGCAGGGAATCAAACACTGAATTTTAGTGTTGTAAGTCCATAGACTTATTGCTGTCCCATTGAGGGATTGTATGACTACAGTATCATTTCTTTATAATGGCAACTAATTTAAATCATCACATAATACAAAACAGAAATACATGCCACTTATTTATTTTCCCAAGAACAAAAAATAATGGATCTGAAAATTTAAATAAAACTGATAATGACAAAATAATCAAGATGTATTACTACATAACTTTTTCTATAACGTACCTTCTGAAATTAGTGACCCTGTAAGTGAATCACAAGGCAAGGGTAATGTGTCCGCCCCTGTCCGAGATCCATGCATTTTTTTACCATCAACTGAATCTATATCTCCTGTGAAGCTTAATTCTTTAGTGAGACTTTCCTCTGAAGTCTGTGGTAGAGAATCTTCCATGTCACTGTCGGTGTCTACTGTCCTCGAAACAGACTCATCACCTATCTCAGCTACAAACAGAAGAAAATACAAGTACATTATATTTAATTCACCAGAAATCTGGACTTTTTTTTGTTTTATTTACATCCATATTATCATTATTATCCTTTTAATACAATATTTAAGTTTGTTCCCACTCACATTAAAACAGCAGAATTTATATACATATTATTTCTGGTAGTATTTTCTCATTAAAGATGATGCAGGTAGGTGGCCTTCATTCGTTATGGAGTTTAACAACCTTCATTGTCCCATGTGATTGGATACAATGAAGTTTTCATTCATTTCCACTGTTTTTTAAGACCATGGGAGTCAACCTTTGGCTCCTTCAAAGGGAAAACTTACATCTTCCAGTATTTTGAATAAACTCATGTTTAGATAATATTCTAGAATTTTTGCATACTTTAAAATTTTTTCAATGTACTTGGCTTTTATGAAAGAAAACACATTCTATTTTTCTATTATGTTAATTTTAGGCTGGTAATAAACAAAGGCTGAATGTGGAGAAACCTTAAAATCAGAAAAATTAACATTACAAATTACATATAATATTTGTAAATTGTGATCTTTTTTTTTATCATCTAATGATGACTTAAATGCATAATAAATATATTTATATGTTTAGTTTGATTGTATTGTCAAACTATAATTACAAATATGATATAATATTTAGGGAATCACAATTCGGCAGATTCTCAATGTCAAGATTGCTTCCACTACTTCTTGAAATTCAAGCTTTCAGATCAAAAATTAGGATTTATCATAACAGATTCACGTTAATCATACTGAATAACCTGGTGGAGAAGACAGATAAGTAACTGTTAAAACAAAAATTACGTAAATGCTAATTAAAGTAAATTCCTCAGTAATTTTCTATACGTCCTCATTTACAAGGCATTTAATGTTCTTTTATTTTCACAAAATTACCTCACCAGCACGTAAAAATTAATGTCTTAAATATAAAAAATATCAATACTGATTAAGCAATATATCAAATCAGTGATAAAACATGTCTTCTGAAAATACTTAACTCGTGTGGAGTCTTGGCTTTCATTCTGAAAAATTTTTGAAAGTGTCAAAGAAAGTTTTTTTATCAATGTAATTCCAATTATTGATACAATTACTTGTTTTAATACTTAGTATTTTCTACCTTATGTGATGAGTGGGTTAGAACGGAAAGGTGACTGACCCCCAAAGTTAGGCCATAGCTACCTCTAGATTAGAACTGCTGACATCTGTCACCGACAGGGCTAATCTTAACAGGATAGCAGGACTGACTGCCATGGTTATAACAATTCCATAATTAAATGTACAAAACATGTTCAGTGCCATATCACAGCTCAAACCTTGGACCTTGAAATCCACAGCCAAGCAGAAACCACTAAGTCATCCCAGCCCTAGGTAATCAACCAACCATAATTAATGTCATCCACTTCCATGTCTTCTTTAAGAAAACACTATTCACATGATTTAAATTATAAACCCAACATTAAATAAATCTCTATCAAATGTACTGGCTTAACTGAGAAGAGTGAACATAGCTAAAGACAAACCAAGCCATTTGATATCTCTTCTACAATCACAAATTGGTGACAAAAGTGCCCATCTCCACTGGTCTAAACATATTTAAACTTACGTTGATGTCTATCCTTCGGATACATATCTTAAGAATATCTCCGCTTTCAGATAACACAATGCTTTGGCTAATAAACACTACAATTGATAACCAATGACATAACCGCACACATGAGCATAATGTGTTTTTATCAGAACAAGTTAGATCTTGCATGATTACTGGGTTTTTTGTCACTTTTATAAAGGTTGATCTAAAACTGTACCTTATTTTGCAACAAAAAAATGCACAAACGTGACATTAATTTCTCTGAAATTTGCCCTCTTTGACATTTTAACATATTTATTCCACTTACTTGATGATAAGTATAGGAAAAAACAGGTTTTATATCACGTGCATTGCCTGACCTTTAGTGTCATCTTGATCTAAAGCCAAAGCTAGTACCTAAGAATCAGAAAAAATTCACAACAAAGGAGAGAACAAAAAAAAAAAGACTTTAAATTGTACATGACCTTAAGCATTAACTTAAAACATGTTAAGTACAAGAGGAAACTGATCACATTTAGCAGCAAAGAAGCCTTTGGATAATTTGATCTTTCAACTATACATTTATTTGATTAAATCAGAGAAAACAATTTCATTTCTGTGTGTGCTCATATCACCATTGTGTACCCGTTTCACATTTGTTGAAACTTATTAAGGATTGGTAGCCCAGAATAAACACATGCGAACTGATAAAAGTCTTAATTAGGTAGCTGTCAGTAACAGATACTTGTGGATGTATATACATACACTCACATATTCATGTAGAGATCTGTGTCATTGGAAGTCTTAAATCTAATGAGAAATACACCAATACAATATACATTCTTAATAGTCTTGTTAGTGAAAGTTCAAAAAGTATATTATCAGTTTCATTGATACCTCCCCCTCCTTTTTTTTTGCTTAAAACATTTACAAATAAAACATAAGTATAAATTTTCAGTTGATGCACATGGCTTAAAAAATGTTATGATTACCTGAATGTTGGATCTTTTGAACTTTACTGGTTACTATGGTAATTAATTCTTTTGCTTTTTCGTGCCAAGACAAGGGAATTACATACAGCATGACACCAGGTGCGAGACAGATGGTCATCACTTGTAAAAAAACAATGACACAAAATAATAAGACTAATGTACTTGTAAAAAATATCCAAGAAAGATGTGTACGTAAAATTTTTTACTTTTAATATCCTTCATAAATTCTTTACATGACTTTTCTGTGAATTTTCAAAATATTTTATTTAGTCAAATACATGTGTTAATTTTTTAAATACAAGAAAATGCAACAGTGAAAAATAATACAAGTTTTCAAATACCAAAAAGTTCAAACAATAAGATCAGCCTTACAAATCTTGTAATTTTTTTTTTAGCTTTAGGTTTATTCAGAAATACAGTAAAATTTGGTGGAAAATTATCAGAGTGAAGATTCAAAGTACAGAATAATTTCACTAGTTATTATCTTATGTCACAGGGTATCCATCTGTTTTTTCTAGAAGTATGTTAACATTATTAAT